ACAGATTTCCTGGGTTGCTTTTCTAAAGTTTGTTTGAGTTTATTCAAAAAATTTGTTTTTTCTTCCGGGTCAGGAATAGAATTGATTGCTTCAAACAAAAGATCTTTTTCTTTTGTTAAAACATTTATGGTTGGGGTATACATACTATAAGATGATGAGGATTAATAATAATGATGAATATTATGAATTTCTTCATCGGAATAGTCATCCGTGGACTCTTCTTCAGAAGTTTCGACTAGAAGACTACTAATTTGTTCTTCTAAATCTGGTTCTAAATTGAGGTTGCTAATTCTTCTTTTGAGTCTACAGTATTTGCTGATATGACCAGGTTTTTTACAATTGTAACAGACTATGGATTTCTTTTTCCCTGGTGGGGATTTGGTTTATGTTTTAGGTTCCCTGGTAGATGATTGATTTCTCCTTTTAGGATTCCTAAAACGTCGTTGTTATTTGTAGTGGGTATTACTGGGTTGGTCATGCCTAACAATTTTTCTGGTTTTTTGTTTAGAGCAACCTGGTAAACCATATTGTTCACAAAAAGTGCCTAATTCCTTTCTATTTTGGGTCTTTTCTTTTGCTAGTTGCCTCTGAAGCTTATCATTTTGACAGATCTCCAAGGCCGTTTTTTGTACAAAAGAAATTAATTGGCCATAACTCAGATGGTCATAAGGAATAATGTTATCAGGTGTTAAAGCCCTAATTTTATCCCTAACCTTGTCGCCTAAAGATCTCGGAAGACCGGCTAATTTTTTTTTTCCAGAATGGTTGTTGACTATCTTCTCTGGTAAAAACCCTGGTGAGGAATGTATCCTTATACCACTTGAAATTGCCTAAGGTTTTACACTTGAGATTGGACAATAGTTCAGCAGAACTATCTTTCCATAAAGATGGATCTCCTATAAAATGTTGGGCTATGGTAAAAATTAAGGTATTGACAGCATCTGGAATGGTCTCACCATTATTGAAGATTGGTTCACCATTGTCATCGATCTTAACAGCTGAAAAGATCCCTAATTTTTGTGCTTCAGTGCAATAATGATCCCACCAACCTTTAAGTTTCCCTGTAAATCCTGATACTATAATATTTGCTATAGCTTCCTCAGAACTCTCATGGGCTGTTTGATAGGCAGTACAAACCATGGTCATATGTTGTAACATATGCATGATATTGTATTCAGATTTACCATCAATATTCCATTCATAGACATTGTTGGCATTAAAACTACTATTATTGAGGTCCTTGTCTTCTATGGCCAAATCTAAGGCTGTAGAGGGATAAGGTTTTGTTAGACCTTTTCATTGGTTTTTGGAGGTGGTCATAATAGGATTAATCTGAATGGATTGAGGATTACTAGAATCAGAATCGTGATCTGATCCTTGGTTTAAAACACCTATAGTTCTTGCTGGCATTCTTGTTTTAGGTCTAGAAGAGGCTTCTTCAGTACCTTGGGGAGACTCAGGAATGGTAGTTGCTTTAAGTAAATTATTGATTTTGCTTAATAATTCACTAGCATCAGAATCCATATTGGCTTTTACCTTAGCCTTGTACAAATTTTGTTTAGCCTTTTGACTAAGCTTAAAAGGCTGAAATAGGGGTTTGTCTAAATGTTTTGAACTTGCGGCTTGGTTAGCAAGTGATTGGCTTGATTCAGATTTTTGGGGAGCTAATTTGTCACCTAAAACATGGAGATACTTGTTTGTGTAATTAACCTGCTCCATAAGACTTTTGATGTCTTTAGAAGTCAAATTTTCATCTACATCCTTGGTCTTGAAGGGTGCAGCAAGCACAGGGTTGTTCTTGTCATCCCTAATTTGAGGGAGTTGATATTGGGTTTTGGGAGGAAGTTCAGATTGGACCTTCTCTCCGTCTTTGAGCTGCCAAACAACATTTGTGGAATATTGTCCTATAAGGTCATTTCTAAAAGGATAATTTATATTTTTCTTAATGGTATAAGCATGAAACCAGTCAAGAATTGGTATATTGAGTTTGACATGGTTCAAGAAATTATAATAAATTTCCTGAATCTGTATTCTTTTTGGACCTTGGTAATTTTTCAAAAACCAAGATCTTTGGGGTTGATTTTCCTCCGAGGCAAAATCTTTACGGAGGGCCTTCTTATCAATTTGGAACTCAGATTGTATCATAATGATCATTAAGGGAAGAATAGGTTGGAGACTGGATAGACTTTTGGTCATCCTCCTCATTGGTTTGGTAAACGGCTCTTGGAATGGTTGAATTTGTTTCTATTCCTCGAAGGTTTGTATTAGGAACAATTATTCTAGGAATAGTGGTTGTACTAGATGCTACTGAAAAGGATCTTCTAGCAGAAGTGTATTCAGATCTAGTAGCTTCGGTTCTTGAGGAAAAAGAATTTCTCCTATCGAAAATGATTTCTACCTTACCAGCCTTAGACTGCCTAATTTCTTGGAATTCAGGGGCTTGTCTGGGTAGGGTTGGTGTTGCTCTTTCAAGTTGCCAAGCTGTAGGAAGTTCTACTTCATCCCATTTTATGAGTTTGGGAACAACAACATTGGCTTTTGTCATGTCTATGACAAACAAGGTGGTTTCCCTATCATTTGTTTTAAGAAGAACCCTTGAGTTACAAGTGTTCATGACTTTGTATTGGATTCTGTATAGGAGGGTTGCAGGGATATAACCTTCTTTCATGTTTAACCGATGCAGTCTAATATTTAAAAACAATGAATCTAAGACATTTCTATCTAAAAGACTCACAGTTTTATTTGGGAAACAATTGAAGTAAACAGGACCATGTCCTAAACTTGTTTCAACGGTTCCTATAAGGGAGTCGTGGAAGTCATTGTGCCTAGTATCTCTAAGACACATAAGGATTGAGACATTAAGACCTTCCATGATTAGGGGCTTAACAACAACTTGGACACACCTTATATGAAGGTACTTGTACTTCCTAGAATGTTCTGTAACAGATTGTTTAGTAAGAAGATGAAATTCTTCACCAGCTTGGGGGTCCAAAGGTATGTTGTTTTCAGCAGTCTTGATAATGTAATCAGAACTGCGAACATGTTTTTCGTCAGGAATATATAACTCATCCTGGGGTATTTTGGGAATTTCCCAATTATCAATTGCTTGGTTGATATCTTCAAAGCAGACTTCTTCTTCGAAGATATTGTTTTTAGGAGGAATTTCCTCCATGGTTTGATTTTGCTCAGTGAGCAAATTTTTTGAAGGTGAAGAGGAGGAAAAGGATGCTTTGACAGTGAGACGACGAGAAAGGGAGCGAAGAAAATTACTCATGGTGTATTAGTATCCAGTATCATTACCCTCATTTGGTTCCATAAGATACCATAAATTAATATTAAATTAATTTCTGTCCAATGAATCTGTTTTTATAAAACTCTTTTTTTTCATAAATTAATTACAAAAAGGAATCCTTATAATAAATATTATCCTATTTCCCCATCATATAAATATATATATATATATATATATATATATATATTTATTTATTTATTTTCTAAGTGCGTGGCACAAAGAGAGAAAACATGAATAATAAAGTGCTAAGTGCAAGCATGAAGACTTGTGAGAAAGATACGTAGAGAGGAACGCATAATCGATTAAAGAGATTGAGAGATTGAGGGGTTTCTAAGAAAATCAAGAGTTGCTGTATCGCAAAGACATGATCTTCTTCTCAAATAGTGGAGCTACTCTCTCCCATTGATATAGGAAAAATGTCATCTTGTGTACTGGTGATAAAACCTTGAATTAATGAAATAAAGTATCAAATGATTTTCAATTTTTTTTTTAAATTTGTAGATTTGATCTATGCATTAAGAACTTATAATTCAATGGTTAGATCGTTGAAATTTGATGCACAATATGAGTTATTAAAGATAAACTTACTCCATGGAGTAAACAGATCTCTCTATTTCTCTCTCTATATATATATATAGTTCAACTATTAATTTACTCGTTCAATCAATTTTTATATTAGCTTTGTATCTTCATGGTGTCATGATTCGTACCACTTGTTAAAGACATTACTAATAAGTATTTGAAACTTACATGTACAATATTATTAGTTTAATTTTTTTTAATCTTTATAATTTTATTTACTTTACCTTTTAGTTTGTATAATTTAAAATAATTCCTTAATCTTTATACTTATCATTTTTAATCTTTCTTTAATCTTTATAATTTAATATAAATATTTTTAGTCTCTATACTTACAACTTTTTAATCCTTTTAGTTCTTATAATTTTTTTTGTAACGTTGACTTTTTGTGTTGACATGATAGAAATTTTTAATTTTGTGATATAAAAATAAAAGAGTATCTTAACAATAAACCTAACATATGAAGGTATAAAAGAGATACGAAACTCAAGAGATATAATTTAGAGTAACTTTATCAATATAAATTAAATATAAGATACATAAAGTTGAATTAATACATTTGTTATGTCAACATATATAAAAGAGACAATATTACAAAAAAATAATAATAATAAGAACTAAAAGGATTAAAAAACTACAAGGATGTAGTAAAAAGATTTGTCCTAAACTATAAGGACTAAAAATGATTAAAAAAATAAGTATATGAACTAAAAATATCTATTTTAAATTATAAGGATTAAAAGATAATAAAATAAGTAAAATTATAAAGATAAAGATGTATTTTAATATATATTATTAAATGACATAACAAGTGTCCACAGGAAAAAAGAATGACATAACAAGTAAGTAAAATTTTGTGCCGGTGTTATTGGACTAATAAGTAAAGCATTAATTAAAACATTAAGGCAAAAATACACGTGACATGATAACATGACACGTGGTATGACACGTGTCACATTCATTAAATATTTAAACGGAAGAAACAAAATGTCAAACATTGAGATAAGATGTGAGATTAAATTGATTCAATTAATTAAAGTGAAACTAAATTGATACTAATAAATAATATAAGAGACAAAAAATATATTTTTGCCAAACATTAATTATACACACTTGTCGAAGAAATAACCTTCGAGAACATAAGCAAAACTACTATAAACAAGAAGAAATGAAGAGCATCATCAACCCAAATCCCAGGTTTCATTTGATAGTCTCTCTTTGTCCATAGTCGATATAATCTTATGATGAAGACTATAATATATCCTTATTGGCTATTCACCTCCATGACCTCTCCAATGCTTGACTTATTAGCCCTCATCACTTTTTCTCTCTTGATAATTGTGACACTAAATATAGTGAGGAATCATAAGAAAACAGATCAACCAACTCAAAATATACCTCCAGGACCATGGAAGCTACCGATTATAGGAAATATACCTCATATTCTTACATCTGCACCCCATAAAAGATTGAGAGACCTAGCCAAAATATATGGTCCTTTGATGCATCTGCAACTTGGAGATAAGAGCACAATCATTGTTTCCTCGGCCGAGTATGCTAGAGAGATAATGAAAACTCATGATGTTATCTTTGCATCAAGGCCTCGTAGTGCAACTTCAGATATATTGTCCTATGAAGCCACAGGTATTGCTTCTGCACCTTATGGAAATTATTGGAGAGTGTTACGAAAGATATGCACAATGGAGCTTTTGTCCCCAAAACGTGTCGATTCATTTCAGCCAATAAGGGAATTAGAAGAGCTCACCAGTCTCATCAAAATGATTGATTCTCATAAAGGATCTCCCATCAACCTCACTCATGTAGTACTTTCATCGATATATTCTATCATTTCAAGAGCTGCTTTTGGCAAGAAGTATGGTAAAGAGCAAGAAGAATTCATATCATTGATGAAAGAAGGACTTACGATATTGGGAGATTTATTTCCTTCTACTAGATGGCTTTCAGTTGTCACCGGTTTGAGGCCTAAGCTTGAGAGGTTGCATCGACAAGTTGATCAGATTCTAGAAAACATCATCATTGAACATAAAATGGCAAAGTCAAAAGTCAGGAAAGGTCAAGATGAAGGAAAGGAAGATTTGGTAGATATTCTCCTAAAATTCCAGGATGGTAATGATAGTAACAATCATATTTGCTTAACTAATAAGCATGTCAAGGCTACAATCCTGGTAAGGATCATATATAACATCTCGCTAATCCTTTTACGAAGATAATCTTGCTCCAAGCGGTAGAGAGTAGAAGAATAGTTACCTAGACTCAACCTTGTGATATCTGTATGAGATTTTTGAGTGCAATAGCTGTATGATACGTACTTAGCATAAGCAAGGGTGGACTTTAAAGGGAAAAGTGCTTAGTTTAAAGTAAAAATTTCCGATCAACGGTTGAGATTTAAACATCGAGATTCTTTAAATAAGTATATGTATTTTATTAATTACAATCTCAAAATTATGTTTGATTTTATAACTACTTTTAACTTTGCACTTTAACATCTATGAAGTGCACCTCTCTATTTATAGCTAGCAAATGTTTCTTTGAATTAGCTTAACATCATAGATAATACCTTTCAGGAAATCTTTGGTGCCGGGGCTGAGCCATCAGCAATTACCATAGATTGGGCTACGGCTGAGATGGTAAAAGATCCTAGAGTGATGAAGAAAGCACAAGCTGAAGCGAGAAAGGTATTCAATATGAAAGGAAGGGTTGACGGAACATGTATCAATGAACTTAAATATTTGAAATTGGTTGTTAAAGAGACCCTAAGATTACACCCTCCTGGTCCTCTTTTACTTCCAAGAGAATGTAGACAAGCATGTAAGATTCATGGCTATCTCATACCATTCGGAAGTATTGTCATAGTCAATGCTTGGGCAATTGGAAGAGATCCAAACTATTGGACAGAACCGGAGAGATTTTATCCAGAGAGATTCATTGATAGCTCTATTGATCATAGTGGGAACAGTTTTGAGTACATTCCATTTGGTGCTGGAAGAAGACTATGCCCAGGCAGCAACTTTGGTTTGATGAATGTTGAGCTAACACTTGCGTTGTTATTGTATCACTTTGATTGGAAGCTTCCCAATGGAATGAAAAATGAGGACTTGGACATGACCGAGGAATTTAAGGTAACTATTAGAAGAAAAGAAGACCTGTACTTGATTCCTGTATCTTCTTCTTTTGGATAAACTTCAAAAAGAATTTTAAGAAAAAAAACATGAAATAAGTTTATGTATAACTAAAATTATTTTATAAACAAGTTAAACAGCATATTTTGGATGAACTAATTTAATAAAATTTCTGTAAAAATTAATTTATAGATGATTATTTTAGTTTTTAAATAAACTTATTTCATTTTTTTTATAAATATTTGTAGAGAAGTTTATCCAAATAAATTTAAAACTTGTAGTCTTTGAATATGTTATTCTCCATTTACTCCTTAAATAAAAGCATATAGTTTGTACATGTTCATTGGATTACGTAAATCTTCTAATGCGTTCCGAGAAGTTTTTCAATTTTTAGAACAGCCAGGCCGTGGCTGCCGCAAGTGTGTATTATAAGTTTATTCAATTAAATATGAAATTAATACTCATTAAAAATTAAAATATATTTCAAATTGAAGGTATTGAAAAATTGTTAAATAATAATAAAAACTTATTTCTATTTTAAATTCATGTCATGCTTATAAAATATATTACCGATAATACTTATAATTGTTGTTATAATTAAATTAAATTTAATTTTTTTTTATATATTTGATTTAGTATCAACTATATATATACAAAAGGCATGACTATATATATATTAATTAATTATGGGATAGTGATTTAAATGAATAATTATAGAGTGATATTTTGAAAATTTTAATTATTAAATTTTATTTAAATAATTTTAGAAGAATAAGATGTAAATTGATAAGTTATACTAAAATATAACTCAAATTTTCAAATTCGTCTAAGGTCTCATAATTTTTAGACACGACACTGACAATAGATGAGATTAGTTGACCTATCGACATTCTATAACTTTTATATTTCAATTTTTTAGTCTATTAATTAATTAATTAATTTAAATTACTTCTAAATGAATAATATTAATTGATATTAAACTATTTCTATTTGTTGGTGAATTTTTGTTGGTTTTAAAAATATTTGTTGGATGTTTTTGCCCTTAACAAACCATATTTTACTTAAATCACTTTCATTTTCTTATTTGAAACATATTCAAGTTCTTTATCAAAATCACAAATTGAAGGATACGTGGTGAAATACAAATAATTAACATTTGAAGTCTTTTGATTTTGATAACAAATTATCATGTTAAGATAATTCTATAATCAACCTTTTAACAAAATTTTGGACAAATCAAACTAATCTCAAAGTATTGTAAAGAAAAGTTAATGAATAAGTCAATGATTTTACTAAAAGTAGTTATAAAAAAATATTATTTGAACACACACAATTAAATTAAGGTAACTTAGACCATCAATTAAATTATGTTACTATACATATTTTTATCATTATTTAATTTTCTCAATTAATTAAGGTAACTTAGACCATCAAGTAAATTATGTTACTATTTTATATAAAGTACATATAAAATTATAGTCGTATTTTAATCAATTTTTTATAAAATATAATTATGATATTATAATTTATTACAATTCATATATATATTAATGAACTAATAATTTGTTTTTATATTTAGTTGATACTTACATATCTTAAATAACATATTAATTCGTAATTAAGAGACATAATTTGGTTAAAATGAAATTTATAGAAACTAATAAATGATATTTACTTATTATTTATTAATTTATTATGAAATAAAGATGTATATACACATAAAGACAAATTACAAATTCTATGTATTAATGATAGATATTTTAGTTCAAGTAATGTCAAACACTCGATTAGCTTTCTACGATAATTAAATAATTATTTTAGGTTAAATAATATATAATTTAATTGTAACATGTAATAATAGTATGTCATAACATCTATCTAAGAAACGACTTTTTCCATCTGAATTAAGAATTCCTCTACTAACAAATATTATGAGAGTGACACTCTTTTTCTCTATTTTAAAATTAAATAATAAATGGTATATAATTATTATTTATTAAATTATTATAAAATATAAAAGTGTATATACACATAATGAGAAATTACGAATTCAACATTATTTTTATTATATTAATGATAGATATTTTAGGTTATGTCAAACACTTGATTAGCTTTTCATGATAATTAAATATTAATTTTAGGTTAAAAATACATAATTTAATTGTAACATATGATAATAGTATATTATAATGTCTATTTAAGAAACAACTTCTTCTGGAAGTAAGAATCCTTCTACTAACAAATGCTATGAGTGACTATTTTTCTCTATTTTTAAAAAAGGTACAGTTAACGAGTTTTTTACTCAAATAATATATTTTTAAAATAAATTTACCTAAATAGCAACGGTACAAATATATTTTCCCAACTAGCACCATTTACTATTTACATATTTTTAATTTTTTTTTTCGTTTTAGGTCGAGGAAAACTGGGAATTTTGCAACTGGAATGACCCGTTCTGCAACCAGAACGGCCCGTTCTGCATGCATTCTCGTCGTGGTTTTTTTGCAACTGGAACGACCCGTTCTTAAACCAGAACGGGCCATTCTAGAGTTGAGTTTTTTCACATAACCTCAATGTTGGAACGACCCATTCTAAACTAGGGATTTTAGCCCTTTTTAGTAGTTTGGAACGGGCCGTTCTGCCCAATTCGATGCACTGTACCTTTTTTTTTATCAATGTAATATGAATTTTAATGTTTAGCTTATAAACTATTATAATTATACATTATTTGAACATGTTTTCGTAGTGCGATATGCAGGTTATCCAGATTTTTCATTATTAGCCACAATTTGACTCGTACAAGTTTCGAATCTATTAAGACAAGGTCCCATTATTATCATCTCGTGTTTTTAAGTTTAAGACACTATAATTTCATACTTCAAAGGTGTTTCCTTTAAATCTAGCTTCAAACTTAACATTGCAGCGAACACAATTTACCCTTTCAACACAAATACAACGTAGTCTCAAAGAGTAACATCAAGTAATTAAATTTATTGAATATTAACATTATAAATATAACTAAATAAATTTATTAAAACTCATTATAACAATAAAATCAATGGTGACGGGAACTAAATCCATGACCAATATTTGGACATGTCTTCCCAGTGTGACCAGAGGTGTGACAATAGGAACAATTTTTTACACGATTATGTTGTTCTCTAATATCCATCTCTGTTCTAATCCTGCTGGACTTTGGCCGACCCTTGGAAGTCCTCTTGAGTTCTGGATTTGGCCACATAGTTGGACCAGTGTAAGTAGGCCAATAATCTTCATGTTGGAGCTCTCCAAACTATCCTTCGTATACCTTTGCAACTTGTTGTAAGGTATATATGGGAGATATGTAGGTTTGATAGTTGTGATATGCATGTAAGCATGAAGCGAGTACATGCGAGCAAGGGATATGAACTTTCTGGAACTTGCCACAATCACATCACATTCCATCTAGCCTTACTGTAAATCTCCCAGCGGGTCGAACTTCTCTCGAAAGTTGCATTTCTTCCACTAGAAATCTAGTGCTTGATCTGTCAAAGGTGATAACTCTATGAGTATTTGCCTTGGACTGTGCATCTTGAATAGTTTTACTTGCAATTTCTGAGTAGACATGTCCAGCATTAATCATTGCATTCACTTCCTTGCCTTTTTGAACGAAAAACTTGTTGCAACGAGTGTATGTGGCTATTACCATGGAACAAATTGGCAGATTTCGTGTTTTCTTCAATACAGAATTAATAGACTCAGTTAGGTTTGTTGTCATGTGTCCCCAACGTCGTCCATTGTCCCATGCTAATGTCCATTTTTCCCTAGGAATGTTGTCTAACCATTGGGCTGCTTCAACATTAGTATCTCTTACTATGTTGTAATAGTAAAAGAATCTAGGTTCAGTCATCCTATAGGATGAAAAAAATAATAATTAAATAATGAAAACTAATTATTAAATGTTTAAAAAAAAGTAACGATAAAATTACCCATGTTGACGACATCCTTCTTCTTTAGTGCTGCATTTTTGAATCGTCGCATGAAGTTTTGCGCAATGTGTCGAATACAATAGACATGGACAAAATTATTTTCTGTCCAACCACTTCCATTTCTTGAGTATGCACTTCAAATAGCCTCATGACGATCAGAAATTAGGCACAACCCGTCTTGCGGTGTTACATACCGCCTTAAGTTCTTAAGAAAAAAAAACCATGCATTGCTAGTTTCACCTTCAACAACAGCAAATGCAATAGGAATTATGTTGTTGCGACCATCTTGCGTAACTGTGACCAATAACGTACCTTTGTATTTGCCATATAAAAAGGTTCCATCAACTTGAACAATTAGTTTGCAGAAGGCAAAACCATCAATGCATGGTTTAAAGGTCCAAAATAACCTTTTGAATATAACATTCCCCTCTTTCCTAGAACGGGCTGTTCCAAAACTAGAACGGTCCTTTCTAAACTTCTAAAAAGACCTAAAAACGTAGTTTAGAGCGGCCCATTCTGGGTGTCAAAACAGCCCGTTTTGACTTTGAAACGGTCCGTTTCAGATGTAAAATTAACGCATGTTCAAGCCGAACGACCCATTCTGCAACCAGAACGGGTCGTTCCAAAATGCAAAAAAAATTAAAAAAAAAAGTGAACAGTAAATGATGCTAGTTGGGGAAATAAATTTGCAAAATTGCTATTTGGGTAAATTTTTTTTAAAAATGTATTATTTGAGTAAAAAATTCTACAATTAACTAGTATAAAAAAGATATTAAATAATTATTTTAGGTTAGATAGTATAAAATTTTATATAAAAAATTATAGAATTTATATAATTTAATATATCATAACGTCTTTCTAAGAAACGACTTTTTTTTGTCTAAATTAAGAATCCCTCTACTGACAAATACTATCGAAGTGACTCTTTTTCTCTATTTTAAAATGACATTTATAGAAAATAATAAATAGTATGTAATTATTATTTATTAATTTATTATGAAATATAAAGGTGTATATACATATAATGAAAAATTACGAATTTCACATTATTGTATTGTATTAATGATAGATATTTTAGGTTAAATTATGTCA